CTGAGAAGAATGAGCAAGGTTCTAACAAATACCGGCATTCACCGCATGGTATTGGACTTATATTGCTGGTGTTAATGAGTTTTAAGTGATCGTGAAACATGTCATACTAATGTGAAGGCTTTCGACACCGGGATAAATTAATATCGGTGGTAGCATGTGAAATTTTCTTCGATTGAGAAGTCATTGTCGCCTTACCACTCAGAGTTTGGATTTTCCTGTTTAATCACCACATTATGAATATTTATGACTTAGGCTCTTCGCTGAGAGATATTTTGTTATTCGTATGAGTCTGAGAAATTGGAGCTTAGTTGTTTGTGGAATAATAAACTATTTGTTATCGAGTTTAGAAGACTTTAGTTATATAAAAGTAATTTCGAGTTGGATCCCTGACTTATGCCTAGACTCTTTGAATACACTTTGCCAATAAACTGGACTGACTGACGAGATATTTTAAATTCTTATCCAATGTATGGTGACGTTTGTGGAATTAAAGATGAAAAGGAATAGAGGATGTTATTTTCTTTGTGAACCCTTTTTGGTTAACTATAGCTTTGTCACAGCAATCAAAGTCCTCTGATATCCGATAGAAGAATTACTATTGTGGTGAGAGCTGTCTGCTAGCCAAAATTTGTTAGCAGCAATTGACTTCACTGTTTATGTCCCAAATCTTGGTCGTGAGAAAAAACGCCTCTTTCAAACTAATCTACAAAGGGAAGAACAACCTACCAAGGACAATACGTTTCCGTCTTCTTTGCGTTGCACAAATCGTAGCCATTCACTTGGAATAACCACAACTATGCATACAAAAGAAGATTATTCAACCACTTTTACTCTAATGGTAACAACTCTGTTGATTTGACTTAACTTTTCCTCGTATGCTTATTTTTCTAACTACTTAAAATTCTTAAGTAATTCCCTAGGTTATTTTGTTTCCGTGTACACCCTGAGCACAACTCTCTCATCAAACTATTCATGTTATTACGTAAATCTTCTTTAACAATCGTTTGTAACAACTCATCACTTTTGTTACTACCCTCCTATATCAACTTCCAATTCATCTGAACTTGCTAACTCTATTTTCGTTTGTCAGATTTAATGTACACACACATACAAAACAACTATATATATTTGCGATTTCAGCGCTATGAAAATAAATTCACTGAAAAGAGACTCTTCACTGAACAACTGGTCTTCTGTCTATTATTGTGCGAATGGGGATTATTCATGAACAGCAACAAAAGTCCCCTGATATCTGATAAATAATTCGTGCTTGTCATGAAGCACAAAATATTAATACAGCGATAATTTCAAGCTGACATTTTACGTGTGTAACCGATGTATATGTATAAAAAAAATTGTTTGCTGATATTTTCAACAGATCTATTAACATATGCGGTCTGACAGTATAAATCAAGTTGCTGATCCAATGAATCACATAATGTAAAGTAATGTGAATCTAAATACACTCACTGTTAACCGGTATTAATTTTACTCCCGATGTTATTTATACCCTCTGAATTCCCCATATAATTCTGTTTTCAAGTATTGGTTTGTAGGGATTTTGTTGATTGGTTACAGGACTTCATCATGAGCTGACATTGGTTAGAGAACCATTGGAAAACCTGAGAGTACTGGACAGCTGTTTCATCCTAGTTTTGAACTCTTCATCAGTACGCACCCATCGCCAGGGTTGGAACCCAGGACCTTCTGGTTACAAGGCTAGCGAGCTCGTAGACCATTAAGCCACTGGGACCCGATCCAATGGCCAGCCCATGAATTCTAACTTCTGCCAATTCACGATATAGCGCAACCGCTAGTCAATGTCTTCGGCGAGTATTTGTCCTCACACCCTCACATTGGCTAGCGGTTGCGCTATATCGTGAATTGGCAGAAGTTAGAATTCATGGGCTGGCCATTGGATCGGGTCCCAGTGGCTTAATGGTCTACGAGCTCGCTAGCCTTGTAACCAGAAGGTCCTGGGTTCCAACCCTGGCGATGGGTGCGTACTGATGAAGAGTTCAAAACTAGGATGAAACATCTGTCCAGTACTCCCAGGTTTTCCAATGGTTCTCTAACTAATGTCAGCTCATGATGAAATTCTGTAACTAATTCTGTTTTGTAGGATTTATCTAAAGAATATTTAGATTTTATATTCTTGAAGACCCTACTTTCATTTTCTGATTTTTTATTCAGTAAATTTTAAGTTATCTTTCTCCAAGCAGCCTTCATACTAACCAAATGGTCAATAAGTAACGTACATAAGGAATTTTCTTTTGGACGTGCACAGATTTGGCTTGTTCAGATGAATTCTGATTGCCTCTGCTGTATGTAAAAGTGGTGCTCATTGTCAAATATCTTAATACCTCCCATCTTAGTTTGGCAAAGGTGTGAATAAACCTATACGCAGCTCCATTCTACCTCATCTGGTTATAGATACTGGACATCAAGTCGGCTCTGATAAAAAAGCTTTTAAAGTTATTTATCGTATATCACCCATTGTCTATGAGTACGACTTTTACATAGAGTACAGGCAATTAGAATTCGTCTAAAGCATTTTCGTTGACAGAACTTGTGTGTTTTGAAACACCGGGATGACTGAATGATCTAGTTGACCAATGAATAATTAGGATTTTCGTGTCATTCAGCTGATGTCTTGTAGAAATGATTTCTTTCTAATAGACATATGATTTTCAGAGCTTGGATTTTATTGGTCAAGCACTGCATGAAAAGTTTTATGACTGAGGAGTTTTCCTGGAAAAAAGGTTTGTGATCCGTGTTAAACCTGAGAAATATGGTTCAAGTTAGCAATAAGATAATAAACTGTTCTTTAATGAATTCAGAAGACTTTGCTTTAGTTACACAAATGTGATCCTACGTTGAACCTTCGAGTAATTACTCGACACTCTGTATGCCTTTTGATAATAATATCGACTGAATAGCCAGAGATTTCAAATTCTTATCCTTGTTGTAGTGGTATTTGTTGAAATAAAGATGAAAACGAATACAGGATATCATTTTCTTTGTGAGCTCTTAAATTAACTAAATCTTTATTTCAGTAATAAACGTTCCCTGACACCTGTTCCTTTCCATAGTTAGTAATACACAAAACACCAATTTCAGGCTGACACTTTACGTGTGCATCGGTGGCACAGTGGCTAGGACTCTCGCCGACCATGCACATGGTCCGGGGTTCGACCCGCTGCCGACGCACACCTGATATCTATGGTCGGCCTGCACAGTTTGAGCTACCGATATCACATGCTGAAAATTCCATACTTGCATCAAAAATACGATATGGAGTCAAGCTATAATAAAATGAAATAAATAAATAAATATATAAAAACTGTTTGCTGATATTTTGAACAGATCTATTAACAAATGTGGTCTGACAGCATAAATCACTGGATCACAGAAAGAAAAGTGAGAACGGATTTGTGCCCTCACTTTCTAATGTATTCGAATGATGTGAATTAGAATGCACTCTGTATCGACTGCTTATATCAGCGTTTTGGCGATAATATCCTTAGTTTCAATGTTATACCTCCTGAATAACCCGTATAATTCGTTTTTGTTTGACGAATATTTGATTTTTATCTTCTTGAAGACCCTGCTTTTGTCTTATGATATTATGGTCAGTAAATCATTTTGTAAGTCATCTTTTGTTTTTCAATCTGCATATTAACCAGATAGCCGAAAATTGATGTGAGAAAGACATTTTCTCTTGAACGCATACATATTTGGCTTGTTCAGATGAATTCTAATTGCCTCGACTGTATGCAAAAGTCGTGCTCGTAGACCATGCGAGAGGTTGGGTGAAATATGATAAATAACTTCAAAAGCTCTGTTAGAGTGGGTCGACTTGATATCCAGTATGGATAACGAGATGTGCTAGTATATGAGCTGCACACAGCTTTATTCTTTTTTTTTTATTATTTTATTTTGATTACAGCTTGATGCCACACCGTATTTTCAGTACAAGTATGGAATTTTCAGCATGGATATCAGTAGCCCAAATTTCGCAGGCCGACCATAGATATAAGGTGTGCGTCGGCAGGGGATCGAATACCGGACCATGTGCATGATCGGTGAGAGTCCTAACCACTGTGTCACCGACGCCAAATCAAGATGGGAGGTATCCAGAAATTTGACGATGAACACCTCTGATCTCGATTTGCCAAAGGTTTGAACAAAGCTATATGCAGCTCGAAACCAGCTCACCTCGTTGGTACTAGGCATCAAGTTGACTCTAGCAAAGCTTTTAAAGTTTTTTGTCATATTTAGCCCAACCTCTCACATGGTCTACGAGTACGACCTCTACATAGATTACAGGCAATCAGAAATTGTCTAAAGCATTTTTGTTGACAGAACTTATGTGTTTTCAAACCCTGGATGACTGAATGATCTGTTTTTATTCCTTTACGTTCTCAGTGGGACATAGGGGCATCAAGCTAGAGCTTTGAAGTTTCGGTAGCAGTGTTGTTTATTTTTGTACGGGATGGAGTTGCTGGCCTCATGCCGAACCTTCCCGCTTTACCAGTCGTATTACTAACTTAGTGAGGTAAAGGAGTGCGTTGACCGAGGATCGAGCCCAAATCACATGTGGCGTGGTTGGTGAGGATTCTAACTGTGTGCCATCGACGCAAATGAATGATCTAGATGACTTAATATTTAGAATTTTTATTTCATCCAACCGATATCCTGTAGAAGTCATGTTCCAATTTTTTGACTAAACTCTTATTCTTTTTGATACAACAATCTCAATTAGCTATGTTGAGAACTATTAAAAATACAACACAAAGAAGTTTTGAAGGTTTTCCGAAATACAATAAAATACACGCCCATAACTGACAAATCATAAAATTTCAGAATCATAAATAAAAAATATGCATCACAATTTGCAAATGAAACACCATTCAATGCCTTTATGATTGGTTCTAAAATCTTTAAGAAGCCTATATAAAACAACTGGAAAACATAAAGCTTTCAGAATTAATTCATTCATGAATTTAATCGCTATCTTAATTTTGCTATTAGCAGTTTCGAATATTGCAACATGTAAATTCATTTGTGGAAATCCTGATCCGATTCCCTTGGTACAATCAATCACTTTATGATGCATATTTCTCCTTTCATTTAGCAACATACAATAGAACTTCAACAGGATAACACTGTGAAAAGAAATGCTCAACCCTCAGCCTTGAAGTTTTACGTAACTTACCTTAGTGGCTTTTACAGCTTATATGAGCATCATAAAATCAAGGTAATTCATAACATTAAAATTAGATCGCCTACAACCTTAACACCACATTTTATTGAAGTTCTTAAGACAGATGCAAAGAAAAAGAGAAGGGGTTTATACATAACTATTTTTCCTGGAATATTTGATTAAATTAGAGTACATGATAGATGAATTTTTAATAACACTGCCACTGTTATTTGCGTAACAGCATTTAAATATGATATCAGTGCTATTTTTATTATTACAAAATTTGGCGTCTTTACTCGTCATTGATAAAGTTTCTGTGATTTTATTTCTTGTAGACACTAGTTGAGAATGCAACAAGAGTCTGGGAAAAAGCATTGACAGTCAAGAAGCCAGGAACTGGGAAGCAATTAGTAAAAAGGTAAGTATAAAATGCTTTCACTTTACGTTTTCGATTTCTCTTCGAAATCATCACTAGCCTTTCGATATATCTGCGTGAATCTAATAGTTACTTATTATTGTTATTATCGCAAATTTTCCAAAAATAAGGGTTACTGAACAAAGAATATTCTTTCTGATGACTTCATTATCAGGTTCTACAGTTACATGTACATGATAGTAGTGAATAAATTAATGTTATTAACAACATTAATGCTGTTTAAATAACATCGAATCCATAACAGTATCATTGGATTACAGTTCGATAGCATCACCATAATGATATACTGAATATCGGAAAAATTAGGAAAAATAATAATACGAATTCATGGATTTATAGTCTCTACTAAAGGTCGCCCAGGGCAGTAGTAGTAGCTGGAATTGCTTCTTTTGCGCACAAAACACTGGTTGTTTCACGTGAATCGTGATAGCCTCTGCTGTTTGGAGCATACGTTACCTCGATTTTTTCGGCAGCCTATTTGGTAGCCGATAGATGATAGAGAAGGAGTAGCTTGCTGGAAATGCTTATGATGACTCACGCGTAAACTGTGTGCACTATACTGAAGTAATGATTCAACACTAGCGTTTAAAAGTCAGATCTTGTTCTCTGTGCTGAGTGAAGTAGATGTTTACATTGATTATACGACAGTAAGGGTTTGTCCTGTTGCTTCCTATTTTGGATGGCTTTGGTATCCTCATCTGTGCCCTCTGTAATACGAAGTATGTTGTCCAGGCAAGCGATGGGGGAAAACTTCCTTTAGATTATTCCTTCTGATGGTAACTTTTGCTCGTCGTCATTCTGTTGACTTTCTTCATAAAGTCTATCTTCTCAATATTCACCTGGTGTCCTGCTTTCACTGTCTTTTCTGTCAGCTTGTTGGTTTTAGCTTATTATTCTTCGATTTTTTGTGATAAAATTCATAAATCTAGGAAATCCATATTTTCTAGCCGCTTCGCCGTCACAAATTAGGCTTGTTTCCTGCCTCCCCAGGATCTGTTTCATGGTTCACTCCACTACGGTGATGTTAGGCAGTCTTGACTTAATTCTGTTTTCAATTCTAACGTTTGCGTAAATTTTTCACGTGAATTAAACTGGCAGAACGGTTAACTAAACTTTTTTATCACTTTGACGTGGTCAGTCATTATTATTATTCCCTTGGGTTCCAGGTGGAAAATAGGGTTTCAGCAATACATCTCTACTTCCTTCTATTTTTTGCTGTCCTCTTCAACTGGGCACACGATTGACCATAATCTTTAATCTTCCCCTCTCACGACCTCCTCCTTATAACCACGGGACGAACCATTAGTCGCTTCTCATTGAGATTCCACTAGAACTACGGCCTGCACTAAGCGCGATGTCATTCGACGGCCTCCTCAGAGTATGCCCAATCCATCTCCATTTTCTCCTACATATTTGTTGACCAATCAGCGCTTGGTTGGTTTGTTCCCAGGCAGAGTTTCTTGTTTCTAATTCTTCCTTGCCGGCTATTTGATCTTCAGTATGGAGCCAACGAAGCGGGCAGCTGTTGATGAAAGTCTTCAACTTGTTGGAAATCCTTTTCGTGACCCGCTCGCCAAGTTTCTCACTCATATGGAATAACTGACTGCCTTCATATTTGTGTTGAAAACCCGAATCTTGTTGTCTATGCTGAGTTAGTGTAGAAGATTTTCAAACTGGTTTTAAAGTTGTTGAAGACGTTTCTTGCCTTTCTGTTGCTGGCTTCGCGGTCAGTTAGAAGATATTTACTTTAACTGCCAAGATGAAGAACAGAAATAGAAAAAAAGTTGTCCTAATGATTGTTATTTACTATTTCTCTTTCTAGATACTGTAGCAACGGTATATACTACACAGTTAAAGAAAACAACTCCTTATACTGTGTAAGAGGAAGATGTAATAGCAAGGCTTTTTGTGGTCCCCTAGAAGTTCCAGATGAATATTCAGCTGTAAGTAATTCTTATGCAGCTGCATTTCTTTGACCCAAACAATCTCATTCCAGGGTGTATCATGTTCAATTAGTTTGTAAATTATATCACAGAGGTGCACTCTTAGCACCTTTTTAATGTATTCAACAAAGCATAGACAATACAGGAAAACAGTTCATATATTCCGTCTAAAGGGCTTCATTTATCAGTTTTTGTCACAGTAAATTTAGTCTTATATTAAAACTGAACAATATATGACCACTATGACCCATTAAAATAAGGAAGTGTAAATTCTGACTAATTTTAATAGAACATGCGCACCTAGAATGTGATGAATGAACCACAGTTTAATGATTGATAATGGATGAAAATTTGTACGGATTTATCACTAAAAATACCACTGCTACTGATGAGTAGATGGTCGCTTTTTTCTAAGTGAACTTTCTATTTAAGTTAAGCTTCATTGGCAGGCGTAGGTACGGTAAGTTCACTTAGCTTCTAATGAATACATCTGAAATATTTAATTGAATTTTAGATTTTCTCGTCGATTGATTCCACAGAAGTGTTCGGTGCTCAGGTTGACATGTCGGCTTCCTGTCCAGATGCTTCGACAATGTCTGGGCATGTAATTAGAATGTAATTGATGGATGGTTACTAGCAGTAGAATCCAGTCAGGATGTGCATTTCGTCCTATTTGAGATTCGTCAGCTACTGTATGTACCTGCATTCCCCATCACTCACTGATTATACTTTCCGTTGTGATTTAACATAATCAGTTCATTTTGTATATCAGAAATCTGCCAGCCTGTTTGTACTACTGGGCTACATAATTTTACTTACAGTATATTGGGTCACATTTAACTGAGTTATAGTTTTTGATTCAACTACCTTTTTACGTCCTTGAAGGATAATATGTAGTCATGTGCATATCACTTGGTGTATTTTAAAGGCAGAAATACGTCACGAGTTGGAAAATGTTACACATAGGACAGAATTCCATCAAACGATATAAGTATAGATGATTGTTTCACTTGACGATTCTGTATAACGAGTAGATAAATTCAAGCTAAAAAAATTTTGCATCGTTCACACGTGCTGCTTAGAAACAAGCCATTGTTTTTATTATCATTATTATTATTGTTCCCTTGGGTTCCTAGTGAAACACAAGGCTTCAACTGCACTCCTCCACTTGCTTCTGTCTTCTGCTGTACGTTTCACCTGCATCCATGTTAATCCATACTGTTTCAGTTCCTGTTCACACGATCTCCTCCATGTCACCCTTGCACTGACGTCCCACTCGCCGCTTCCCTTTCGGGTTCCACTCGAGCGTTGGCCTGACGCGCGATGTCACCCAGCGGCCTCCTCGGCTCAGCGAGTGTCCAATCCATCTCCACTTTCTCCTGCATATTTGTTGGGCGATTGGTTCCTGTTTCGTTTGTTCCCATAGCTTCTTGTTGGTGATTCTTTCTGGCCATCTAATCTTCAGTATGGAGCGAAGACAGTTGTTGATAAAGGTCTGCAACAGGCTGTTGGAAATATTCTTTGTGAACCGCCAAGTTTCTGATCCGTATAGAAGAACTGACTTGACGTTTGTATTGAAAATCTGAATCATTTTGTTGTTGATGCAGGCTGAGTGACGAAGATTTCCAGATTGGTTTCAGGTTGATGAATGTGTTTCTCGCCTTCCCGATTCTCGATTTGACATCCTCATCCGTTCCTCCTGTGGTTGAGACAATGCTCCCTAGATAAGTGAAAGAAGTAACCTTTCTCAAATCCCTCCCGTTGATGGTGATTGGCACTGGATTTTGCTGCTGTTGTTGGTTGGTTATTTTCATAACCTCCGTCTTGTCTATGTTCACCTGGAGTCCTGTCTTCACCGGCTGCTTCTTCGACCAGTTTGTCGGTTTTCGCTTGTAAGTCTTCGATTTTGTGTGACATCAAACATAAATCATCCACGCACGAAATCCAGGTCTTCTAGGTTCTTCATGTCGGTCCAGGAAATCGCTGTCTTCTCATTTCCCATTGTCTGACGCATAATCCAGTCCACCACAATTAGGAATATCATTGGTGATAATAAGCACCCTTGTCTGACTCCTGTGTTTACTCCAAACGTCTCGGTGAGTTTCCTGCTGTGGTTCACTTGACATGTGCCGTTGTCGTACAGCTGTTGAATAAGGTTGATGAATATTTGGGGTACGCCATAGTACTCGAGTAGTTTCCAAATTACTTCGCGGTCAACGCTGTCGAAGGCCTTCTCAAAGTCTATAAAGTTGAGGTAGATGTTTGATTGCCATTCCATGCTTTGTCCGAAGAAACAAGCCATTATATAATTATTATTACTAATTGAAAATAATTTTGTTTAAAAAGGAATGTTTTGAACAATACAATAACGTTTTGTACCGATACTATCATAATGGAACTGGTATACCAGGAAACGGTTATGTACTAATCGTTGATGCAGCCCAAAGAGGACCATGTTCAGGTTCAGGTCCAGCAGCATACGCTGGACCATGTCATATGGATCCTGTAACTGATAGGTAAATGATGATTACATTTTATCTAACTTTCATGACAAAGCATATTATTAATAATAAAACTTTATTTCAGACAGTATGCAAACATATGGTACAAACATTTTCAGCGTATTTAGTTCTCAAGTATTGGTTTTGTAGGGATTTCGTTTGATTGCATGGAGGATTTCATCATGAGCTGACATCATTTAGAGAACTCCTGGAAAACCTGGGAGTACTGGATTGCAATTTCGTCCTAGTCTGGGACCCTTCAGCAATAAGCATCCACCGGTGTACTGATTTTTATTATTATTGTACCCTTTAATTCCTACAGGAACATAGGGCTTCAACCGTGCGTCTACATTGCGTTCGGTTCTCTGCTAGAGTCTTCACCTGGCTCCATGTCTGCCCACACGTTTTCATCTCCTCTTCACATGACCTCCTCCAAGTCACCCTCACACTGATGACCAACTCGCCGCTTCCCACTCTGTCGGGTTCCACTCGAGCAATGGCTTGTCTAGTGATGTCACTTGATGGATTGTTTCCTCAGAGTATGGCCAGCCAATCCACCTCCATTTCTTCCTTCCTGCCTATTTGTTTCACAATCGGTTTTGGTTGGTTCGCTCATTGCCAGAGATCCCTGTTGCTGATCTTTTCTGGCCATCTGATCTTGAGTAGTACTGAGCGAAGACAACTGTTAATGAAGGTTTGTAGTTTGTTGGAGATGCTCTTTATGACGCGCAGTGCAAGTCTCTGATCCGTATAGTAGCACTGACTTCACATCGGTGTTGAAAATCCGGATATTATTTTTGATGCTGAGAGTTGTTGACCTCCACACAAACTTGAGAGTAGTGAAAGCTTTGATATTCTTGTCAGTTCCATCCACCTGTAGTTGAAACGATGCTTCCCAGATAGGTAGGTAAAGGAGGTTGTTTCTTTCAGGTTCCTTCCATTTATGCTGATTGTTGTCAGTTGTTGTTGTTGTTGCTGTTGATGGTGTTGCCCAGGAATTTTCATCACCTCTGTTTTATCTATGTTCATCTTAAACGCAATGCATAAATAAAACATCTTTCCATTCGTTTTTTAGGCCAAATGTTGGATATGTGAACTTATGTCCAAGTCAGATGGATGTAACATATCCAGGTGTTAAGAGTTTGGCAGGAGTTATAATCCATGAGATCGGTCATGCACTGGTAAGTAAATTTTGCAGTTTTGTTTTCTTTAATGTCGTGTGTCAACTACAATAAAAATTAGAACGCTTCTTTGAAGTATGAAATATGGTATGAATAAATCGGGTGTCGTATTATTTTTTTTCCTTCACGTTCCCCTGTGGAACGTAGGGCTTCAAGCTAGTGGCTTGAAGTTCCTGTAGCAATGTCTATTTTACAGGATGGGGTTGCTAGCCACCTCATGCTCAACCATTCCTCTTCACCAGCATTATTTCTGGTTCAGCGAGGTAAAGGAGTGCGTCGGTGACCGGGGATCGAACCACAGACCATGTGCATGGTTGGTGAGCGTCCTAACCGCTATGCCACCGACAGTGTCGTATTAAGCCTCATTCATCTATGATTTGTAAGCTAAATTCATTCGCACAGATTGTAGACTACATAGTTTGAAAGCTGAAGGTGATTTGGATATGAAACATATTTTTTTAGTGTAATTTTCAAATATATATTTTTAAAGTAAATCCGCATGAATGTGTTGAATATTTACATTTTATATATATATATTTTAGGGATTTCTATCCAGTAGTTTTCCATTTATGCGTGATCAAAAAGGGAATCCTAGGACAAAAAGAGGTGCTGATAAAATGCCAATATATAAGGACAGCAAGGGAAATTATCTTTCAAGGTAAAACATTCTTAATTACTTTAAAAAACTGGATAATGTGACAACATGAAAGTTTATCTCTAACACCTATCTCATTATGACAAAATCATTCACTCCAAATTTGTGATTTTGGCCAGGTGAAACTTTATTATTATTATTGTACCCTTGGGTTCCTAGTGAAACACAAGGCTTCAACTGCACTCCTCCACTTGCTTCTGTCTTCTGCTGTACGTTTCACCTGCATCCATGTTAATCCATACTGTTTCAGTTCCTGTTCACACGATCTCCTCCATGTCACCCTTGCACTGACGTCCCACTCGCCGCTTCCCTTTCGGGTTCCACTCGAGCGTTGGCCTGACGCGCGATGTCACCCAGCGGCCTCCTCGGCTCAGCGAGTGTCCAATCCATCTCCACTTTCTCCTGCATGTTTGTTGAGCGATTGGTTCTTGTTTTGTTTGTTCCCATAGTTTCTTGTTGGTGATTCTTTCTGGCCATCTAATCTTCAGTATGGAGCGAAGACAGTTGTTGATAAAGGTCTGCAACAGGCTGTTGGAAATATTCTTTGTGAACCGCCAAGTTTCTGATCCGTATAGAAGAACTGACTTGACGTTTGTATTGAAAATCTGAATCATTTTGTTGTTGATGCAGGCTGAGTGACGAAGATTTCCAGATTGGTTTCAGGTTGATGAATGTGTTTCTCGCCTTCCCGATTCTCGATTTGACATCCTCATCCGTTCCTCCTGTGGTTGAGACAATGCTCCCTAGATAAGTGAAAGAAGTAACCTTTCTCAAATCCCTCCCGTTGATGGTGATTGGCACTGGATTTTGCTGCTGTTGTTGGTTGGTTATTTTCATAACCTCCGTCTTGTCTATGTTCACCTGGAGTCCTGTCTTCACCGGCTGCTTCTTCGACCAGTTTGTCGGTTTTTGCTTGTAAGTCTTCGATTTTGTGTGACATCAAACATAAATCATCCACGCGCGAAATCCAGGTCTTCTAGGTTCTTCACGTTGGTCCAGGATATCCCTGTCTTCTCGTTTCCCACTGTCTGACGCATAATCCAGTCCACCACAATTAGGAATATCATTGGTGATAATAAGCACCCTTGTCTGACTCCTGTGTTTACTCCAAACGTCTCGGTGAGTTTCCTGCTGTGGTTCACTTGACATGTGCCGTTGTCGTACAGCTGTTGAATAAGGTTGATGAATATTTGAGTAAGTGAAACTTTAAGCACCACTAACTGCCAATGGAGTGCGGCCGCACCAGTGACGTTGAAACACTCACTGAGCAAATGAGTGAAACCTGGCAAATTATGTTGTCATCATCAATAAAATATGCTTATCGAAGTGTTATGCTATTAAATGGGATATCAGGCAAATTATAGCTTATATTTGGGAAAGATTAAGTTACGCTTTAAGCAAAGGGAAAGGTTAGGGTAAGGTTAACCTAATAAAGGCGACATTATGGTTGGTTCGAGATTGCAGTTAGTTAAGGGATATTTTCACGTTAGAGTTAGGTTCAGGAAAGATTAGGGTTACTGTTAGGATTAGAAGACATAAATGATTACATGAATAGAATGTAGATACAACAATAGAACTTGTGCACTGTGGTATTATTATTATTGTTCCCTTGGGTTCCTAGTGGAACATAGGGCTTCAACTGCACGTCTCCACTTGCTTCTGTCTTCTGCTGTACGTTTCACCTGCATCCATGTTAATCCATACTGTTTCAGTTCCTGTTCACACGATCTCCTCCATGTCACCCTTGCACTGACGTCCCACTCGCCGCTTCCCTTTCGGGTTCCACTCGAGCGTTGGCCTGACGCGCGATGTCACCCAGCGGCCTCCTCGGCTCAGCGAGTGTCCAATCCATCTCCACTTTCTCCTGCATATTTGTTGGGCGATTGGTTCCTGTTTCGTTTGTTCCCATAGCTTCTTGTTTGTGATTCTTTCTGGCCATCTAATCTTCAGTATGGAGCGAAGACAGTTGTTGATAAAGGTCTGCAACAGGCTGTTGGAAATATTCTTTGTGAACCGCCAAGTTTCTGATCCGTATAGAAGAACTGACTTGACGTTTGTATTGAAAATCTGAATCATTTTGTTGTTGATGCAGGCTGAGTGACGAAGATTTCCAGATTGGTTTCAGGTTGATGAATGTGTTTCTCGCCTTCCCGATTCTCGATTTGACATCCTCATCCGTTCCTCCTGTGGTTGAGACAATGCTCCCTAGATAAGTGAAAGAAGTAACCTTTCTCAAATCCCTCCCGTTGATGGTGATTGGCACTGGATTTTGCTGCTGTTGTTGGTTGGTTATTTTCATAACCTCCGTCTTGTCTATGTTCACCTGGAGTCCTGTCTTCACCGGCTGCTTCTTCGACCAGTTTGTCGGTTTTTGCTTGTAAGTCTTCGATTTTGTGTGACATCAAACATAAATCATCCACGCGCGAAATCCAGGTCTTCTAGGTTCTTCACGTTGGTCCAGGATATCCCTGTCTTCTCGTTTCCCACTGTCTGACGCATAATCCAGTCCACCGCACTGTGGTAGATAGAGTATAATTCCGTTGTGGGTTAAATTTATTTTGATAAAGTCTCACAGTGTTATTCAGTAACATTTACTGGTGACAACGTTTCGAGCACCATTTTGCTCAGTATATATTACTGTACAACAGTATGAGACTCTTTCAAAGGAAATATTACCCACAATGGAATTACATTCTGTTGATATTCCAACTTATAACTCAAAGGTGCTTTTATCACAGTTTTTATGCATTTTTTCATGAAAATTTGTATTCCATACACATTTGTGCGTTCGAGGTCATTCGCTGGCTGGTAGTTAGTGGTGGTGCTTAAAGTTTAACTTTGCCGTGATTTTAATGTTTTGATTGGAAGAATTATTGACACCATAAGCTCTCGGTTGATGAAATAATATTAGGTGCTCAGTTATGTCTAACCTTCACTGTATTCAAATTTCAAAATAAACTATACAAACAAACGAATGGGTTGGCAATGGGATCATCAATATCCTCAACAGTAGCAGATCTATTTATGGATAGTTGGGAACATAAGGCTCTTAGAACGTTTAATCCTGCCCTTCACTCCTAGATTATGGTGGAGATATGTGGATGATACATTCCTTACAGTGTTGAAATCTGAATATATCCCTCATTTTTCCACTCATATAAACTCAATGGTAGACGGAATTCAATTCACTTGTGAGTAGAAAACGAACAGTGTGAGTTGGTCATGTTATATAATGTTGAATAAAACGAAAACAAGATGGTGGGTTAGATAGTAGCATTTATAGAAAACCGACACACAACCAGAATCGGTAAATACAGGTTTAGTCAAATGTTTGTTTAATCGGGCCAAGAACCCAAATAGTAAACCAGAATATTTAAATAATAAAATAAAGCAAATAAAGGAGGTATTTCTGGTGAATAAAACCCTTCAGAATTTATTCAAAAATGTACATGAAGAACCATAGAAGAATTAAGGTAAGCAATAAAAACAACGAAAATATTACAGAGTTCAAAGCCTCTGTAGTATTTCTGTACAAAGAAGAGACGTCAGTGTCCTTATGCAGGATTCTCAAAGAGGCTGGAACTAGGGTGGCATCTAAACCAACCAACCAACCAACCAACTGTCTCAGAGATAAACTTTGTCAGCTTAAGAATGCAATAGGTCCAATTATGAAAAATAACAGAATTCACCAAATACCATGTAGTGCTGACTTCGAGGTCAACTATATAGGCCAATCTAACTAGTAGAATAATTGACCCTGATAAGTCAAACAACCTAGAGAAAAAAGAGCTCAGCCATTTCACTGCATTGCATTCACTTGCATGTAATCACAAAATAGGGGGAGTGGGACGGAATGACGGTATGAAAAAGTAATATATTTACGTGAAGTGAGAGAGAGAGGTTAATCAGTGAAGCTTTGTTTATCGATTCAACACCGCTTCAGTACAATCAGGATGACGCAAAGCCTATACCGGAGATATGGAAAGTGGCGACCAGAAACAAAGGAAAGTTGGATAGATAGAAAGAGAGTAAATATAAGTATAAGACAAATTGTGAAACCGTATGACTAAAATTGACATGATGATTTCGAGTGGCAATAATTTATGCTCGAAACCTTGTCATCCAGTTGTTAGTACTGCATCATCTCTGTGTGATATTTAAAATAAACTAATCTAATATGGAATTACATTCTACCACAGTGCCCAAGTTCTACACCTACATTATTTCTGACTGGCAATCGTTAGGAGCCACTTTCAGAGAGTTCTAAAATTTAGACATTTTGCTTGTAAACACTCTTCATAATGATGAATTCTCAACCCATTGAATATTTCAGTCCCTCGTTACTCTATTGTTATTATTATCTGATAGATTAACTTTGGCCTATCTGGAAAGAAATTGACCTCCAGTATGACTTTGTTGGACACACCAATAAATTGATAAAGACTTTTAAGTTGTGTATTGTCTTGTCTTTAATCTTGAACGATTTCCACAAGTCTGTTATTCCATCAGTATATATATATTCATGAAACCAAGGATAAAGGCTTCTTAGGAATTCAACAAAACTGTCTAACATAAGTCACAAGTACGCCACACTGGCGAATAAACTGGGTTCGGCTGACGTTTGGAACTTATTAAGTATTATTTGGTCTGACAGTATGCTAATCATTGTGTTGTTTACCCTTTCTAGGGATTTCATCTTCTCTTCTTTTACTGATAATTATTTACTGACATATATATTTATTATAGCTTGAAACCACACAAGCATGTGATATTGGTAGCCCAAATTTTGCAGGCCGACCATAGATATCAGGTGTGCATCGGCAGGGGGTCGAAACCCGGATCATGTGCATTGTCGACGAGAGTCCTAACCACTGTGCCAACAACGCACACGTTAGTTTCTTAGATGAAACATCGATACTACACATGCAAAGCTAGCGTCCTACGGGATTTGCATTGATGGAAAAAAAGTAATGGTGTGGCTGCTATAAATGCAATGACAAAATTTCAGTGAGTTTGGAAAACAGGCAATTCATTGCTTAACAACTTGACAGAAACACATTAAGAAATATGTTTAAATTTGTCGTCTAAGAATTAGAATTAACATATTGATTGTCATAATTCGTAGAATGAAAGTCACTAAATTAAATCAATATATTTTGTAGTAACAATACAGTCAGAATGATCACAAGAAGTTGGCAGAGTGCTGTAGGACACTTTTCAAGAACGCCTGGATCGTTTGTTACTCCTAAAGTCTTGGTGAGTTACTTTTATCAAACACAAGTTGATTCGTGCAAATGTTGTAAACTGTGCAGATGAATTAAGCTGGAATAAACACATTCAACAAAAACATGTTATGATTAACTAGAAAAAAAGGTAGACATTTTGATGAATCAGTGAGAACGATTCATGTTTTCTTCTTGCAGGTGAGTAGAACACATCTGAACCCCTATTGTAGGTTGTATATCCGCGCATATTTTCACTATGAAATTGTTTACATTTAAATATTTGATGTCGATATAATGACTGAGAATCTTTCAATCTAAATGTCTGTGTGAAGTTTAGACTAAGTGAACGCTAACAGTCAAATTAACTAACATCGAATTCATTCACAGCGAATCTGCGATTTTCGATAAAGAATCTACGCATGTTTACATGAGAATTTATTCCTTTCTGAGATACTTATTTAAGACACAGTATTCAAGAATTAGTTTGCAGGCTAGAACACAGATTGACATCAGCTAAAGAACTATTGAAAACCACGGAGTATTGGACAACAGTTTTGTCCTGCTTTGGGACTCATAGGTAGTATCCGACCACTGGGTTTTGCACCCAGGACCTTCCGGTTACAATCTAATTCTTGAAAATTAATCTGATGCTTGCCAGTGACTTGCTACAGGACGAAGTTGACTGGAGTTCCAGTGAGAAGTCTTGACCATTGGAGGCCATCCAGTAAGAAGTGAAGATGGATGTCTCACTGATGACACTGGTTGCTGGTCACGGTAAAATCACGAATCGTTAGAAGTTAGAATCGAGTTGGCATACGAGCTTGCCTTGTAACCTGAAGGTCCTGGGTTTGACCCCTGGCAGTGGGTGCGTACTGCCGATGAGTCCTAAGCACTAGGACGAAAGAGCTGTCTAGTACCCCTTCCTTATTTTCAATGGCTGTCTAACTGATGTCAGTCATCAGTCTAACCTGAAACACAGACATCATCCAAACTGAAGATGTCATTTCACAGAAAATCTTAGAAGAAAGTCCTGAGATTTTATAGCAGAAACATACAAACTTTTCTACAATATATTTAAATAATAAGCTAAACGTCAGCGGGCTGTTTCTTAGCAATATAGTAAACGCAATCAATGGTTCCTACTTTTGCACTCATATTCATATAGTTGTCATGTTTTTCTATTAGTAATAGAGCAGACATGCTGTGGATGATGTGTTTTCATGACTATACCCATTCTGGTATCCATTGAATCTTCATAAAATCAAAGATGGTGTCACTTTTCAATTGTTTTCTTTTTTCATTATAGGCTTTTGCCAAGAAATATTTTGCCTGTCCAAATTTAGATGGGGTTGATTTAGAAAACTATAATGTAATAGGGCCAGTTGGGTCTCACTGGGAAGCAAGACTATTTCAAGTAAGTTAATTGGGGATTTTAAACGGGCTTTTACCACTGATGTGTTTTACAGAGTGAATTTCTGTGCGACTATTACTTTCAGAATGTTTTATATTTTCGAAAAACTGGCGAAATAAACTCACTGTACTACAACCCAAAATACTCTCATGTCACAATGTTAGCTGAGGTGATGTAAGTCTTCTAGTATCGTATGGAAGAAAACAATCGGGAATAATCCCTAGTTGGTCACAATCCCCTTTTAGAATTTGAAATGTATACCTGCATGAGATGAATAAGATTCAGAGCATGACTAAGTTTTCACGGCGATTTATCTATTGATATTAGATGGTTGCAGGAAATCGGCAGGAGGCCCCACTTGACCTACGTATTGTGCAACTTGGTGGAACTCGTCAATAAGATGATGACCATATTATTACCCCACGAATGAAGTACACTTGTAACGACAGAAGACAAGGGCCAGGCAACAGATCGTTTATTGAGAAAATCAACAGATATTTATATATATATTTTTATGTACATTATTATAGGTTATTGTTAGCAGAGAAGCAACGTCTTCTGATTGGTTTTTTTTCTCGCTGAAAGTTAATCTGTCATCTCTTTATGGCTATTTCTTTGAAGGTCAGACCATATATCTACGAATCTTATTTGCACATGCTAAGTCTGCGGTAACTGGTTGTTGAATTAGTCTTTGTTCTTGTTGCTTTTCTCATGACCAAGATTTGGGACGTAACACTGACATAAATTGCTGTCTACCAATTTTGGCTAGCAGACAGCTCTCACCACATACTATAGCTACGAGTTAGTGGAATGTAAGTAGAATGAAGAAGGTAGCGAAAATTGAGTCTGGTAATGCGAGGTGTGTCCTATTATGCAGCCCAGCTTGTAATCATTGAAAAGGCGAAAAATAACCTTGAATACAAACCTCAAAAGTTCACAAGTGATTTTGTCACATCCCACACGACTTACTAATTTACTTGTGTGTTTGTGTGAACAAACTTACATAGGGAGGAGTAATCGCGCTTTGCATGTCAGGGTAGGAGAGCTTATTCCGAAATGGTTAGAAAGACAGGTGAACTTTGGGAAATCAATAGACGTAGGTGGCAAACTACCAACTTTGTCTGCAGCCAAACATCTAATTGAAATGAAAGATAAGATTGATGTTAACACAGCCTTTGAGGTTATCCAGGTCAGGAGCGCTTACTGAAATACGTTGAGGCCATAACTGCTCATAAACTTAAGCTCCCCCCTACCCTTTGTGTTCAAAATCAATTTAATATTAGTCTTCACCTACCTTGGTAATCCTTATCTGATTGGATAACAAAATGTTGTGATAATTATTCTTATTATTTTTACTAGTTGATCACGGATTGTTGTCAGTTAGAGAACCATGGCATAGCGGTTAGGACGCTCGCCGAACATAATCATGGTCCGGGGTTCGATCCCCGGCCGACGCACTCCTTTACCTCGCTAAGCCAGAAATAATGCTGGTGAAGAGGAAAGGTTGAGCATGAGGCTAGCAACCCCATCCTGTAGAATAGACATTGCTACAGAAACTTCAAGCCACTAGCTTGAAGCCCTATGTTCCACTGAGAACGTGAAGGAAAAAAAAGAGAACCATTGGAAACCAGGGGGTACTGGCGTACTGATGACAATCCGTGATCAACTCGTAAAAACAAATCTAATCCTCACAAACCGACTATTGAAAATATTCTTATTATTATTCTTAAATCCGTTTTGTCACTTTGTGTGTTTCAACTGGCCTTTATTTTTCATGTAAATTGATATGAGCAGTAAATATGTAATCAGATTGTGTCCGAAATGTTTTGTACAGATATGTCAAACCACATTTGCCAGATAATCTGCGTCTTTTAATAACACTATCTTAATACAGAATCGAATCACTACATTCCATAAGTTTGGCTTAAATCTGTTTCTTTTTTTATTCCTTCACGTTCCCAGTGGAACATAGGGCTTCAAGCCAAGGGCTTGAAGTTTCAGTAGCAGGGTTTATTTATATAGGATGATGTTGCTAGCCTCATGCTCAACCATTCCTCTTTACCAGCTCTTATTTCTGACTTAGTGAGGTAAAGGAGTGCGTCGGTGACCGGGGATCGAACCCCGGACCATGTGCACAGTCGGCGAACGTCCTAACCGCTGTGCCCCTGACGTACTTAAATCTGTTAAGACAACTAAAATTTATGTGCAAATTAGTAATGAAATGTAGATGTATATTTTAAGCCACTAGACAACTGAAAACTCAGCTTTCTATGTCATCTTTGAAGCACGCTATAAGCGTTCACAACATGATGACCAATATTTTCGAAAAGATTAGATATTCACAATCGTAATTACATGACTATTCTGGGTAATTTTTCAGTTAGATTATTTGAATTTTCTTTCATTTTCAGAATGAGGTATTGTCACCAGTAGTACTGATAGACTTTTCTGTTTCCCTACTTACTTTGTCTTACTTTGACGATTCGGGGTGAGTTGATTTTTTACAATGTAACTCATTTTTCTTAATGGCATTTCAAGGCTATTTATGTAGTAGATTCGTTAACTTTTAAGTAAAAAAGGCTCCTTTTACACAATACTGAGAAAGGCTTTACCATAAAGGCGTTTAATTCATCTATAACTAATAGTCTCTACCATAGATTTTTTTTAAATAAGCATGCATGAATTCTTTAAACATCTCACCACATATCGAACTTCAACGCGCTGGTTGGCATGCCTTTCGGAATAATGGTTACAAACTAGTGAATAACCTCACTTTGATAGGAACTAGTTGTTCAAAACTACATGGATTTAGCCGTTTCTCAAGTATTTCTTTGTAGGGATTTAACTAGTTACAGGATTACATCATGAGCTGACATAGGTTAGAGAACCATTGGGAAACCTTGGAGTACTGGGCAGCTGTTTCGTCCTAGTTTGGGACAAATACTCGCCGAAGATATTGGCTAGCGGTCACAACATATCGTGAATTGACAGAATGTCATAATTCATGGGCCACTTGATCGGGTGGCAGTAGCTTGATGGTCTACGAGCTACCTCGCCTTGTAACCAGAAGGTCCTGGGTTTGAACGCTGGCGGTGGATGTGTACTGATGATGAAGAGTCCCAAATTAGGATGAAACAGCTGTCCAGTACTCCCTGGTTTTCCAATGGTTCTCTAACCAGTGTCAGCTTATGATGCATTCATTTAACCGTTTCTCTAACTTTTGCTGCTGTTTGCCTACAAAATCAACCTTGAAATCAAGTATATACCCACAAACTATAATTTAGGACATGTGTTATTCATGTTTTATTCAAATAAAATATAAAAAGACGAAGTCATTTATATATATATATATTCTATTGTGTATATCCAACTTCTCAATGGGACGCAATAGATCCAATTAAGAAAAAATAATATAATTTACCAAATACCATGTAATGCTGACTGTTAGCTTAATAACATAGCCAGTCAAACTAGTAGATCACGGTCAAGCAGATTATTGGAACATGAAAATTAAACTAGACCTACAATAATTGACCCCGCTGGGTTAAACAAACTAGAAGAAACAGAGCTCAGCCATTTCATTGCATTGCATTCACTTGCATGTAATCACAAAATAGGGTGAGTGGGACGGGATGACGGTATGAAAAAGTAATATATTCACGGGAAGTGAGGGAGAGAGGTTAATCAGTGAAGCTTTGTTTATCGATTCGACACCGCACCAGTACAATTGGAATGACTCAAAGCCTATACCGGAGATATGGAAAGTGGCGACAAACAACAAAGAAAAGTTGGATAGATAGAAAGAGAGTAAATATAAGTATAAGACAAATTGTGAAACCGTTTGACCAAATTTGACATGATGATTTCGAGTGGCAATCATATATGCTCGAAACCTTGTCATCCAGTTGTTAATACTGCATCACAGTGTGACATTTAAAATAAACTTATATGGAATTTTATGTATGCCACAGCATGAAATTTGACAATGGAATATTGGTCATTAGCTTTCCAACCCATTTATGCTTTGTTGCATCGCATTACTTGGAAACTTTGCATTCTCCTCGATAGTGACTTTATTTCACTAAAATGAGATCCAATTACTGATTGCCTTCTATGACAAAAAATAAGTCTAGAATTGTTTCTGTAGAATTATGCCTATGAACAAATTTATTAATCCATCGTTTTATCAACACTAAGCACAAAATGTTACTCAATAATCTGCCCAAATTGTCCTCGTTTACAACTGTTATCACAAAATTTCAGTGATAAAATCTTCATGGTAAATCATACTGTGTATGGTTTATGGCATTTTGGTGTATAATACAAGATAGTGGTACAATAAATTTCTTCAATAAACAGTTGTCAATTCATATGAAGAGTGATAGCACATATGTATGCAGTCAGTGATTCAGTAGAAAAATCCTCGCTAGCCGAGCTGAAGATTCGGGTCTAGTTGCTGGTCAACCTACTCCAAGATCACCTCTAGTTTATTAGCTTGTAGAAAGCCCCTCTGCTCACTAAACAACACAACTGCTATTGAAACTCTGAATTTCAAAATATATAGCTTTTAACATCAAGAAATGAAACAGTAAGATAAAAACAACACTCACACACCTATCTATTAGGATAAAATATTTTTATTGATTAAAAATGCCCATTAAAATTTTCAAAAGAATAGACACGGAACAAAGAGAACTCTTTTCGATAAATTCATCATCAGGTTCTACAATTATATATACATTATAATGAATGAATGAAGTAGTCTTATGAACGACATTTATGTTGTTTAAATAACATCAAATCAATAATATTGATAAATTACAGCTGAACAGCATCAACATAAAATAAACTGAATTTCAGAAGAATTAGGAAAGGTAATAGTAAAAATTCATGAGTTTATATTCTCTACTGAGGGCCAGGGCAGTAGTAGGGGCTGGACTTGTTTCTTTTGGACACAGAGCACTGGTTGTTTGAGGCGAACTGCAATAGCCTCTGCTGTTTGGAGCAAGCGGTGCTTCGACGATTTTGGTAGTTTGTTAGGCACCCGGTATATTATGTAGAAGTCCAGCCCCTACTACTGTCCTGGCCCTCAGTAGAGAATATAAACTCATGAATTTTTACTATTACCTTTCCTAATTCTTCTGAAATTCAGTTTATTTTATGTTGATGCTGTTCAGCTGTAATTTATCAATATTATTGATTTGATGTTATTTAAACAACATAAATGTCGTTCATAAGACTACTTCATTCATTCATTATAATGTATGTATAATTGTAGAACCTGATAATGAATTTATCGAAAAGAGTACTCTTTGTTCCGTGTCTATTCTTTTAAAATATTTTCACTGACCACTGAAAAAAGGTCTCATTGCTGATTGAGAAACTGATAATGCATGATGTTATTGACCATTCTATTTAAATCCTTTCTGAAAAGCATATAAGTGTGTGTATACTCTGAAACGTCATGTGGGACCAGTGTCAACTTTAGACATTATCTAAGAACGGTAGATTAAGTTCCTCATTTGCAAATTACAGGATTAAAGGTGAGAAGTTATCGCCGTCTCCACTTAAAAAGCAGGAACATTTAAATCGCAATATGTGATCCATGTGCTAGCATAAATAACAATAAAAAAAGTAAGCGGAATGGTGTGATCATGTATTTTGCAGAATGGAATGACTATCTGGAGACTGCTAAAGTCGAATTCTTCTCCATGAAGAGTGCAACTTACAAATCATGAATTTTAATTCTAAGTACTACTACCTAGACCCAGTAGCTAATCACAATACGGATGATTTGGACTGATTCAACTCCCTAAGATGATTTAAAAGGAGTACACGTTTGATGAGATCGATCAAAAATAGGCGAAACAACTGCCTGGTGTTCAGGTCAATTCGATCTGGCTAGCAAGCACAAGAACAACGTTAAACTACTCCTTTCGAAATGCAAACTTCCCTAAATATACCAGTATTTGTTTAAGGAGCTTTTAATTATGACTAGAATCACTAATGAATGAACATAACAGCCATAAGATTTGATGGGTGAAATAAACAAGGAAATAAGTTTACAAATAGTAATGTTTGAAAAATTTATGTCACTCTCAATGTCCAATACTCCCAGGTTCTCCAGTGGTTCTCTAACTGATGTCAGATCATGATGAAATCCTCCATCCAATCAAACAAAATCCCTAAAAAACCAATACTTGCAAATTACTCTGATGCTCACTAGCTACTGGTCCTATTCTTGCAGTGACCTGGGGTTCTAGTGGGAAGCCCCTTTGACCAGTAGGGTACAGCAGGTTGAAGATGAGGCAGTAACTCATCGAAGAAGATATTGCAAAATGGTCGCGCTGTGTCGTGAATTGGCAGAAGTTGGAATTCATGCACTGGCCATTGGATCGGGTCCCAGTGGCTCAATGGTCTACGAGCTCACCTTGTAATCAGAAGGTCCGGGGTTCGAACACTGGTGGTAAGTGTGTACTACTGAAGGGTTAGTCCCAAACTAGTACTCCCTGGTGGGTTTTCCAATGGTTCTCTAAGTGATGTCAGTTCATGATGAAATCCTCCAACCAATCAAACAAAATCCCTACAAAACCAATACTTGAGTATTATCATTATTAGTTGTTAGTTGGTGATAAGATGACTCTGTTCTGTTGTAGACAAAAACACCAGAAGATTTAGTCATTCAACAAATCGCCTTTCTCTCTTGAAATGATATTTTTTTAGTGGCTTACTAGGCAGATTATTTCTCTTATCACATCGTATAGCCAAAATTATTTTTTCTAATGACGTCAACAGCTGATATATGCCTTTTCATCCCTTATCTGTTTTATTTATAGATGGTATAATGTTAATTACAAAACGGCAATGAGAATGGAATATGGCAAAGGTTTAGGCTGCGACTTTGCAACAAAGAGTTGTTTTGAATACGCCGAAATTCAAAGACACCAGTGAGGATCTGTTAAATGTATTTTTCTTTTAAATTTTCATATACTTCACCAAATATTTCACTGGAAACCGAAATCATTTGTGCAACCACCTATATCACGACAACATTCGTTACGAGTTTTTGAGTCAAACAAAGCAAGAATGGCAAATGTACCCGGAGAATATGAGCTCATCTCTTATTATTTCGAGGATTATTCTCAAATAACTACAACCTGAACAATGCAGAACTTGTAAATTAAAATTTGAACAGACTTCATTCATGATGACAAAGAGTAGGTTTTAGTATATAGGAGTAAAATAAGTCCGGAATGATGTATGTTGTTAAATTATTAAGAGGAGTGACTTTGTAAAGGATAATTAGACGAATACTCTAGATTTATATGACTCATATTTCCTGTCGGTTGCTACGTGTCACTGCGGAAAAAGGATGTTCAAATGTTCAATGTAATTTTCAATAATTCTCGAAATAATGAGAGATGAGGTCATAATATCCTGGTACACTTGTCATTCTTGCTTTGCTCAAGTTTATTATTGGGAAGAATTTAGGATTTTTTGTAAAATTGAGTTCATTTTGAGATTTACTTTTTAATGAAGACGACATAACGCTGTAAGAAAATATGGGTCTGGAATGCGATAAAAACTAATGTTTGATGCAGGACGGCAAAAGTAGTGAAAACATCGCCTGTTTATGCTATTAAACCCTACTTTATAATGAACGAAAGATTTCTTAATTTGTTTATATATATATTATATATATATATAGCTTTCACTACTCTCAAGTCTGTGTGGAGGTCAACAACACTCAGCATCAAAAATAAGATCCGGATTTTCAACTCCAATGTGAAGTCAGTGCTACTATACGGATCAGAGACTTGCACTGCGCGTCATAAAGAGCATCTCAAACAAACTACAGACCTTCATTAACAGTTGTCTTCGCTCAATACTCAGGATCAGATGGCCAGAAAAGATCAGCAATAGGGATCTCTGGCAATGAGCGAACCAACCAAAACCGATTGTGAAACAAATATGCAGCAAGAAATGGAGATGGATTGGCTAGCCATACTCTGAGGAAACCATCAAGTGACATCACTAGACAAGCCATTGCTCGAGTGGAACCCGACAGAGTGGGAAGCGGCGAGTTGGTCATCAGTGTGAGGGTGACTTGGAGGAGGTGATGTGAAGAGGAGATGAAAACGTGTGGACAGACTTGGAGCCAGGTGAAGATTCTAGCAGAGAACCGAACGCAATGGAGACGCACGGTTGAAGCCCTATGTTCCTCTAGGAATTAAAGGAGACAATAATAATAACATATATATAAGGAAATTCTAGAAGCATCAGATGTGTTTAGCTATTTCTTTCTTCAGATGCATTATCTAATTAAATGGCTTTCAGATTTTTAACAAAAATATGAATTTACAATCACGCTATATTTGGATCATACTGTATTTCAACTCAACATACTGTATTCAGTTGAGATGTACTGATTATAGGCGGCCTGATTGAATCACTGGGCTACCGTATTCGCCTTCCCCCGAAATGCTTAATTTCATCTGGATTTGCTATTGTTTTAATCGTCCAGTTTTATCAAATGACCCTTTATATGGACTTCTGTGGTGATTTAATCTGCTCGCAAGGAAACGCTGTGCACTTCTTCAACGAAATTGAAGATATACTTCAGATGTAAATCCTGCATGAAGGAAATAGTATTTTGATGAAAATGTTTGTACCATACGTTTGCATGCTGTCTAAAATGAAGCTTTATTACTATTTAAATGAAAATGCATGGTCATGTCAGTGTTTTGATTAGACTTCATTGTATTTTTCATTTCTCAGGAGAAAATCATTCAAACCTTTCTGTGATGATAATCGCCAAGCAACGTGTAAAGATACTCGCTCTTATGGAGTTTGCCACATATATACATATCCCAGTGGTGTACCCCAAGAAGATCAGTTTTTCAAAACTCCACCATATCCTTCTCACTACAGTGCTGCTTATTTCGGAGGTGATGATCCGCACAGAGATTTCTGTCCAACACAAACGGTATGCTGGCAGCAGTTTATTTTATTATTTAGTGATATTTACTTGGACTATGACATGAATACCCTAGTGGATGTTTTAAGTTATATAAAAGATTTTCAGACTATAGGATTTCATAAGCGTCCGTGGTTCAATGACAGAATGTTCCTCAACGATTCATATAGTCTGGGATTCGATTCCTGGCTAACACAGTCTCAAACATTTCTAAGCCGGTAGTAAGTCCGACTTGTAGGGAAGGTTGGAAGTGAGGCTGGCAACCTTACCCCGTAAAAATAAAACCACTGCTATGGTGAATTAAAAGCTCAAGTCTGAAGTCTTTTATTTTCAACTGGAATGCAAAGGAATAAAATAATAAAAATACAAATATACGTTTTCATAGGCTTGTTCAAGCGTCGATGGCATAGTGGTTAGTACGCTTGCCAACCATGCACATGGTCCGGGGTTCGATCCCCGGTCACCGACGCACTCCTTTACCTCGCTAAGCCAGAAATAACGCTGGTGAAGAGCAAAGGTTGAGCATGAGGCTAGCAACCCCATCCTGTAAAATAAGCACTGCTACAGAAACTTCAAGCCACTAGCTTGGAGCCCTATGTTCCACTGGGGAACGTGAAGGAAAAAAAAGGGTTGTTCATACAAACTGAGATTACTGAATTAAGCTTTCCACCAAAATTGATTTGTCGCACTGATTAATTCCTTTCTCATGCACAGGAATAATCAAGAATTCTAAAATAATTGTATATTACCTGATACGAGCTAATGTTCTTATAACTCTTATAAATAATGGGTGAGAAGTGTTAGGCAGAACGGCGATAGATACGGATGACAAATATGAAAATGATGACAAATAATTTTAATCCTCAGGTTGTTGTTCGGGTATTTAGGAACTGTTTGAATTCTTAAATGTTTGATGTTAAGGTGACTTTAGGTAAATTTCTTAGGGTGACGGTATATGAATTTACTTGCATTTGGTATTGTACCAGTGTTTGGAATCCTATTTAAAACTTGATCGAAAAGTGAATTTTCAGGTGTTTTTATAAAGCTTTGATTCCTTTTTGGGATAAATTAATAGCTTAGTAGTTTGACAGAAAGGTTTTCTTGATGTCGTGCAGAGTGATTGTCAATAATTTAGTTTTTACGTGAGTAAATATATTACTATTTCACCAAGTATTTGGTTGTTTCGACCAAGTGTGATGGACAGCATTGCAGCTGTCATTTGTCAGATCAGTGAAGTATTGCTTGCTCTACAAATTTTCATTATTTTGATGATAGATGTTTCATAATTGAAGAAGATATTGCCAACATGCCAACAGTTGGCCAACAGTAATCACCCTAATATCCATATTTTCAAGGAAGAATAGTGTACTGATACATACCATCATGTTCCAGAGGACTGCATACTTCAAAATTTCATCTACAATTTCAATTTCGCTACCTAAATTGTGGTACAGATTTGAAAGCGAGCATGAATGGAATACCAAATGATACAGAAACAGTTTGTGAGAAGGTGAAGCTTATCCTATGATTTTACAGCCTCGCCTAGTTTACTGGCCCACTAGTTTCCCAGCCGGTCCTAAAACCGGGAAAAGAGGCAGGGTTGGGCGTGGAGTTAGTGACCATTTCCCGGAAAATAAATCCAGTTGCTACAGAAACCACAAAAAACATAACAAAAATACAAAAAAGCAGACTTATTCTTCTCTGGGATCTGCAAAGCCAGTCAGCCAGCCAATGTGTCTTCTCTCGATGAAAGCAAGAATAAGAATGGGGACTTGTAATGTTCGTAAAATGTACAAGACTGGGAAGGCTGCCCAAGTGGCCAACAAACTGAGAAGATATGGCATAGAAGTGCTGCGTATGTGCGAGAGCAGATGGAATGGAAGTGGATTATAAAAATTGACAACTGGAGAGTCAGTAATCTACTCCGTCCATCTAGACGACAATCACAAGCACGCTGAAGAAGTGGCTATCATGATGTCACCGGTGGCAGCCAAAGCCTAATGCAGCAGGAACCAATCGCTCCATCCAGGATCACGACGGCAAGATTCAACTCAAAAGGAAAGGAGGTCACAATTATCCACTGCTACGCTCAACATTATAAACAACGCGGAGCAGTAATTAATTAAATCATTTAATTTAAATTTTAATTTTATTATAGCTTGACTCCATACAGCATTTTTGATACAAGTATGGAATTTTCAGCATTGGTAGCCCAAATTTTACAGGCCTACCATTGATGTCGGAGGTGCATCGGCTGAGGATCGAACCCCGAATCATGTGCATGGTTGGCGAGTGTCCTAACCACTGTGTAACCGACACACAGGGAGGAAGAATTTCATGGACAACTGAAAACTAAACCCATCAGCTAGTTCAAGGAACCTTCAAGGTGGAGCTGAAATTCTTCGGGAACAACTGGAGACAGGCCATAATTAAAGTTCAACATTCAGAAAATGGACTGAAAGGAAACTACAAGGGAGACTTTCACAGCAGATCAGAGCAAAGTCGGAGACACTATGTGACATCACTAGGGAAACCTGTGTGGAAGAACATTGGAACTCTCTGAAGGTGATGTTCAAGGAAACGTGTACAACTGCTCTAGGAAGAAAGAAGAGACAAGACAATAAATGGCTGTCAACGGATGCCTACGTGGAAGCTAGTAGAAAAGAGGAGAGGAGTATGGTAAAACAGAAGATGAATCAATGTGATGATAGACAACAGAAGGAGAAGCTGAGTTCAGTGTACACTGCACTGAATAAAGAAGTGAAGAAGAGTGTTAGGAAAGACAAAAGACAATTCTGCGACATACTGGTCTGCAGCTGAAGCAGAACAGGTTGACTACAGGCAAAAGAGACCTCAGGACATTATATCAGATAACCAGGTCTCTATCTGGGAAGAGATCAACCCTGATGGCAAAAGATGTTCAAGGGAACCTACTAACCAAGGAGGAGAAATAAATAAAACAATGGGCTAACAATTTCAAATCGACCATCACCTGCAGCTCGTCCAGAAATACAGCCACCACCAACAGCACACACAGAACTCCCAGTAGACGTTCATTCTCTAACAAAAGCAGAAGCCTTGGGTGCAAGGAAGCTACTGAAGTCCGGCAGGGAAGGCAGCAGAACAAGACGGAATACACCGAAAACGGACCTAGGAGCGGCAGCAGATATGCTCACTCCAGCACTGTAAAACGTCTGGATCGAAGGAAAAATGCCTACTGATTGAAAGAAAGGTTACCCTGTGAGGCTGCCAAAGAAGAGGGACTTAGGCCTATGCGTGAGCTGGTGGGGAACCATACTCTTGTCAGCGCCAAGTTAAATACTAAGCCACATCATCCTAGAGAGAATAAAAGATGCACTATATTCAGAATTCCACCCACCGGAACAATCTGTTTTCAGGGAAAACGGATTGTCTGCTGATCAAATCACAACGCTAGGCATCATCAAAGAACAGAGTAGAGAATTGGAGTCAAATTCCTACTTCAGCTTTGGAAACTTCTGTACTCAGCACAAAGAACAAAATTCCTTTGGATTTTCAGCACGTGTTAATTCAGCCAGTGCTCCTATGTCGGGTATCAGAACGAGGCTGAGATGGAGGAGATCGTTTGAGGCAAGAAACTATAGACAATCGTGGGGACAGCTAAAGACGACGGCAGAGGATATGAACTTGGAACCCAGGACAACAATAATAACACAATAAATACAGTACATAAAGCTCGAAGTCACTCTCATATACTTCCCAGACAACCCTTAAATGCTTCCATCTAATTGAATTTCATGAAATTTCAAGGGTACGTAAAACAATCGCGAGAGAAAATTACAAATACCAGGGTGCAATTGCAGTCCGGCAACCATATTGTATTTCCTAAAGTGCTTGCAGAGGGTAAACTTAGAGTTCTCTGTTCCGTTGAGTACCACGTAATTTAGAACTTTTAATTTTCACTTCTAAAGCCACTTCTGAGTAATTATATCAATTATGTCACCCCCTATTACTTAATAATAGACCACTATATAATTTTGTAAGTATAAATACGACTGTACAGCCTCTGAAGATGATTTCGTCGATGAATGAATCTGTCTTTTATTTTCTCCTATAAGCTGAATTTTCCTACAAATGAAATCACTAAACAAAACTAGGACTATACTGTGCATTTTGTTGGTGGTGACACAAAATAACAACTCTCTAGAACCTACATAATTCAGGCTTATGTATTTCATGCACAAAATAGTGGGGTCCCAATATACAGCACACAATCGGCAGAAGTTGGAAATTTTTGGTCAGTTGGCCGGTTTCCACTGGCTGAATGGTAAACGTGCTCGTCTTGTGACTGGAAGGCCTTGAGTTCTAGCCTAGCTGACAGTCCTAAACTAGGCCGAAACAGATATCCACAACTCTCTGGTTTTACAAGGGTTCTGTAACTGATATCAGCTCATGATCAAATCTGTAGCTGATCGAATGCGTGCAAACCAGTACTTGAAAATTTCATGATAATCTGTGATATTTTTAGTCACAGATACACCAGATTTGAAAAAAAAGAATACTAAAGTCATGTTCATTTTATTTTTACAGTATGTAAGTGGCCTGGGCGATTATCCAGCAACTTCTTACTGCACCCACACAGAAAATATACAAAGATCACGTAAGTGTTTCTCAAGTTTGTTTAATCTACTTTAAATCCAATGCACACTAACTTCAGACATGACATGTTTTTCCTAATGAGAATGTTGGTGCTTTTGGAAGTAAGCTTATAAATCATAATTCAAAGAGTATTTTATACCGGAAATATTGTGTAATATTTTTGACATCCGGATTAAGTTACACTATTTAGTTAATGGTTTTTGTAGGAATTCACACTAATTTCAATGTAGATTTCGTCACGAGCCAACACCAATTGCAGATTATTCAAAATCAGGTAGTATTGGACGTCGGCTTCACCCTAGTTTCGGACATTTTAGCAGTGTACACCCAGGACGCAACCATTGTTCCTATGTCATTCAATTTTAGAGTTTCCCATCGATTGATTTTTCATTCCTTCACGTTCCAATGAACATAGGGCTTCAAGCTAAAGGCACAAAGTTACTGTAGCAGTGTTATTTACAGGATGGGGTTGCTAGCCTCATGCCCATCCTTGCCTCTTTCCAACTTTATTTCTGGCTTAGCGAGGTTTGGGAGTGCGTCGGTGGCCGGAGATCGAACCCCGGACCATGTATATGTGGCAGCGTCCTACCGCTGGCACCGACGCAAACCCGATTGACTGGACCGAAGTAATCGGTCTCAGGTCGACATGTCGGCTTCTTGTGCAGATGCTTCGACGATGTCTGGGTAAGTAATTAGACGTTAATTGGTGGATGGTGACTGATTGTATTTACATGCCACATATTCATTAATCTCGCAACTCAAGAAGCCGACATGTCAACCTGAGACCGAGCACTTCGGTCCAGTCAATCGACGGAAAATTCTAAAACTGAATTAAATAATTAATATGACCCGTTGCACAAGAGTTGACTATCGTGGCCAAAGTGGTCTAGTGGATAACGCTTTGGCGTTTGATACAACGGGCACTGGGTTTCAGGCTCGGTGGGAACATCATCACTGACTGACTGAGGAATGCAGGTATATCTAGGTGACGAGTCCGAAATAGGACGAAATGTGCATCCTTGGTTCCACTGGTAGTCACCATCCAACAATTAACTTACACTGTTCCTATGGTTACGATTCCAAGCCCATTGATCATACAGGCACCTTGCCTGCGGATGAGTCACCTGTGAATTCTGACCTCTGTTAATTCATGATATATCGCTTTCCCCAGCCAGTGTTTTCGATGAGCACCCAATTTACGATAGATGTTTAAATTCAAACATTCAAAAACTGATGTTTTCTGTAGCTTTTCAATGTATATTATCATGAATAACCGGCAATACTAAATAGTACTTTGTTGCATAGATTGTAATCATTACATTTGGGAAATTTATAAGCATTTTACTGAAAATATAATTGCATGGAGGATTTCACCATGAGCTGACATCAGTTAGAGAACCACTGGAAAACCTGGGAGTACTGGAGAGCTGTTTCGTCCTAGTTTGGGACTCTTCATCAGTACGCACCCACCGAGATTCGAACCCAGGACCTTCTGGTTACAAGGCGAGCTCGTAGACCATTGAGCCACTGGGACCCGATCCAATGGTCCTTGAATTCTAACTTCTGCCAATTCAAGACATAGCGCGACCCCTAGCCAATGTCTTCTTCTATGAGTTACTATATATAATTGTCAGCATGAGGATACAAATAAAATAATGCAAGTGTAATACACTATGAATAATGAAATCAATTTATATGGCGAACTTGAAATACCAGTTCAACTTGAAGTTATTATTGCAAGTTACTGTGTACGGGTGAATGCTTGAATTCTTACTCAAAATTGGCTATTTTAGCACGTAGAGCTTTTAACTGAGAAAACTATAAATAACTAATCGGAAATTATTTTTTTTTTACTAACAGAGACAGGGACTAACTACTACCTACAAACCTACGGCAAGAATGCTATCTGCGTGAATCATCGTGGAACATGGATCTATAGTACCCACTACAACACAACTTTAACTGATTATCTGCAGGGAAGTTGTCATCAAGTAAGCTTTTTTGCAACCAGTTGCCATATGTATGCTGTTGCAAACATCCTTTTCCATTCTTCTTTCAGTGAACTCATCCGTGAGTTTATCTTTACTGGACAGTATTATTTAGAAGAAGATCGCAACAGTAGAGAGAGAGAAAGATTGACTGTGGAATATATTCTTATTCTGTTCTGTTTTAAACTGTATGAAATGTGCGACACTCTACTTCGAGACATCATAAAGTAGACTTTTTGGATGGTGCTAGATTACATAAAGATCAATGAGATATATTTATATATAAAAGGGGGAAAGAAGGAAAATTAACATTCAACATGTACTGTAAAAAATGAAGGTCGGTAGCTTTAGAAATTTACTAGCTGATATATATATATATATATCGCCTACTTATACATGAAGAGAAGACAGAACTGATGATGAATGTGTCAGATCAACGACCAGCAAATGCCAGTCACCGTAAGTTGGGAAATTCCAAAAGAAAGCATTCGTTTAAACTGACTGTGCAGCAGTGTCTCAAATACATGCAACACCAGTGTGAATGTCACAGCCAGTCAAGATCTGAAAAGTAGGACAGGCATTTGTCACCCTGAAATCAGTGTAGAGTTCTGCTTCACGTAACACAAAGAAAGAGATCCGAATTTTTAACACTGATCTAAAATTAATGCTTCTATATGCTTTAACGAATTGATGCACAGGACACCAAAATCACTACTTACTGACTGCAAGCTCACAAAGATAACATGGAGGAGGTCATGTGAAAGGCAAATGAAAGCCTGTGTGCAGTTAAGGATCCATTTGAATGTGATGACAGAGAACTGAGTGCAATAAAAATCTGCTTCTGAAACCATGTGTCTCAGTCGGAGCTGAAGGAAATAGTAATAATATTGCTGACATGTCAACAATGGTTCAGCGAAAATCAACAGGAAGTGAACTCATTTTCTACATATCCCACCTATAAAATGTTTAATGCCATGTGGCAAGTGACAGCTTTAATCATAATTGATGTAAGTTGTCAAACTAATTGTGGTTCATATTATTCTCTACAATGTTTCGAAATTTGGTTTTCAGAAATTTTGTAATCATTAATTTAATTTTAAGTAGATTTTACATGGTTGAAGGTGTTTCAGAAGGTGCATTTCTACAAGAAGTCACCCGCTGGAGAGTTATACTTAATATATACCAGTAAACTGTCTCCAATTCCGATGAAAATGAGCATGGATCCACAACGCTCAACCTCATTAAGCATTGAGCAAATAATACTGTGTTTTTAAGCATATTTTGTCATCAGTACAAATATCGTTTTGACCTCCTGATAAAACTTTGATGTCTGAATATGAACGAAATATTTTCTAAAACATACTTCCTGGTGGGTTAAATTTCTTTGAAAAGCCTGTCTCACCATTTCAAATGATTTATTTATGAATTTGTTGTTAACTTGTCTTTCAATTGCTTCTTGAATTCTTCACACACATTCAACCACCCAGATATCCACTGAATAAACGATGAAAGCTGTGCATGGATGTATATTTTTAGATAGTTAGTCTTTACAATGAATATGTTCTTCAGTATTCATTTTGCTTCACGTGTAACATCTTCCTGACTATAAATTATCCAGATATTTCAGTTTTTGTGTATGGTGGAGGTGCTAGTGATTCATTAACGAAACCATGAATTCTGCGTAATCATTCACCGTTGTCGGACACTTCTGAGTAATTCTACCAGCTGTACGACTCCTTTGTTACGCAGTAACAGGCCACTACATATTTTTGGTGAAGATAAATGCAATTGTACAAGCTTTGAGTTTTGTCTGCTGAACTGTCTTATTTTCTTCATCTAGGTATTTCTCATCATGTATATAGGGAGGATATTTCATGAATGTCGGACTTTACTTCTTCTACATACTCTATCAGAGTATCTGAAAAGATTATAACAAGAGTGGTAAGGCACCGTCAGTGGCACAGCGGTAGAACACTCGCCAATCACCCAGGGGATTTCCGGGTTCAATCCCCGGCCGACGTACTCTTAAACCTTGCCAAGCCAGTAATATGACTGGTAAAGAGAGAAGCTTCGGCATGAGGCTAGCAACCATACCCCGTAAAATTGATAAATCACTGCCACTAAAACTTCATAGCTCTATCTTGGAGCCTTATGTTCCACTGGGAATGTAAAGGAACAAATAATGAATAATAATAATAGTAAGGAAAGCACCGTGGAAAAGCATCTCTATAAATGATGTACTGCGTCCTGTTAGCTGTTGACAAAACTCTACACATCAAAGAATTATCCCGACTTGTTCAAATCACTCTTCTATATAAAAAATCCAAAATTTGGACATACATTATATTGACACCGCACGGAAATAAAACCCTTCTGAGAATAAAACTGAACTAGAATAACTTCCTATCTTATGGCTGCAAATATAACATTTGTAATTAAAATGTTAATAGATATTAATAACACCTCCACCCCTTCCTTCTATCTTGGGTAAAATTACAAGTTCTATTACTTTGTTAATAAAGCTTGTTTTTGAGTGTTTGTATGACTGCTTAGCAACATCTTTTTCCTAACCAACCCTTTATTTACTCTTTCTGTTACATAATTTATTTTGGATAGATATCACATTCTCAATTCGCGTATTAGCTAAGAATTTACGCAATTCAAAGAATGACGTTTCACCATAATTTCCTTAGGAAACCAAGTTATTCAGACCATGTTATGTATGCCACCCAGATCAGCCAGTAGTACTCCCTAATCAAATATTTGGTCGTTTAAACTTCTTCGGATGTCTGAGCTGGATAAAATCCGGTATACAACCGATGACTCTAGCCCCAAGCGACTGAAAATATCATTTTGAACTGGCTAACACTCACTATTGATTATCGTGAGTGATGTCCAATTGCTCACCTCGATTAATCCGTAGATTCTTTAGAAGAATGTTATAAGGATTTTCAGCTGATGTGCCATTTCTTTTATTTTTTTTCTTTAAAAATATATATTTGATATCAGCGAATTCCAAGTGGTGTTTCCATTCACATATTTTTCTCCATTTTTTCTCCAGTATGAATGTACACGTGAGAAAAATCTCAATGTTTATTTTAAGAGTGCCAAAGTGTTATGTCGAAGAAGCGGGGAAACTAAATTCAATGTACAAGATGGAAATGTTAAACTTACTGGAGCAATATTATGTCCAAATCCAAGGCTGTTTTGCAAGGTGAATATAATGAGTGCATATATGTTTTGTTTTTTTAAAAATTTCTCTGTGTCGTAAATGCTCAAAAGTTTCTTTTGATCATTAACTGTTTCGTATACTGGTAAAACTGAGGAAATATTTTTTCGGGGGCCACCGTTGGTTCTATGAAATGCTCTTGCTTATGTTACTGTATTTCGGTAATAATATACTCTGAAATTTCAAACTCTAGAATCTACTGACCCAGTGACTAAAGAGTAAGGTGATGTCAATGTAGCCAATGATAGTGAGTAGGAACTCGTGAACAGCTCCCGAATTACGAAGAAATGGCGGTCTATATTCGATTGGTTCTCAGTGGTCTACTGTGTGTTTAGTTTTATGATGAAAATAGATTTAAGTTATTCACATCTAGGACGTTTTTATTGTTCTAAGCCCCATTTCCCTCATGTAATTGTAAGCTAAAGTAATTATGTAATTGACCATCTTAAAATCCTAATTTACGGCCTTTTTGGTGTACAGAAGAGATTCTCACCGAAATTGGAATGACCGACCCAATTGGATCTGTGATTGTTATTTGATAAAGTAATTCCTTATCACCATCTGCCTTATTTTAATTTTATTCCTTTGCGATCCGAGTGGAAAACAGGTCTTCCATCAAGAGCTTTAAAGTTTCACTAGCAGTGGTATTTTTCCTTACGGGATGGGGTTGGTAGCCTCATGCCCAACCTACCGCCTTTGAAGGGCTTATAACCCGTCAAGGAAGATAAAGAAGGTGTGCACTGACCAGGAGTCGAAACCTGAACCACATGGGTATTAGCACACTTCAGTAAATAGGCCAGATATACCAGCAAGACTTTATGAAAATTCAGGAAACACACGTTTAACTTTTGAACCTACTGCCTCTCTTAGTCCATTACAAAGCGTAGATATGAGTATCAAGCGACATTTTCTGATACAAGTGCAGCAAATGTAACACAGCTCAAGTACAATATACTGCCGACTTTACGTAGGTTTCAAAAAATTTAAATGCGAAATTTCACTTCAAATCATTGAAAAAATATACCTTTTCATCAAACCACCATAGCAACAGATTACTACACTACAATTAATGCAAAATACGCAATGAAGCCATTCATAAGATAACTTCTAGAATGCGGTCTAGTTTAACTCCATTTCGTGAACGAAAACAGGCATAATTGTTTGTAGTTCTGGTTTTATCGAGATGATGTTTGTTGTGTGTGCGTGTGTGTGTCAGCACTTTGCCCGTTTCATTTTTTATTTCCACCGTTACTTAGTTGGTGTATAACAATTCACTGTGATGACACATGGTGGAAGCATTTCCAAGAAAATTAATTTTGAATAACATGCTCTCGAATAATCCCACTTTGGAGTTCTTAATGTGAATAGCAAATAAGGTTGTTCTACTGTAAGCTTCTGTGAACTTTAGAAGTTAATTGTTGGATGGTGACTAGCAGTGGAATCCAGGATGCGCATTTGGTCCTATTTGGGATTCTTCACCCGGATGTACCTGCATTCCGCAGTGAGTGATGGTGTTCCCACTTAGCCTCGAACCCAGTGCCCATAGTTTCAAACGCCAAAGTGAAATATCAACCTGAGACCGAGCACTTCGGTCCAATCGATCGACGGAAAAATATAAAATTGAATTAGGTAATTATTGCACCCATTGTACAAGAGGTGGCTCTCGTGGCTAAAGCGGTCCACTGGACAACGTATTGGCGTTTACAACTATGGATACTGGGTTCGAGCCTCGGCAGGAACATCATCATTGACTGCGGAATGCAGATACATCCAGTTGACGAGTCCCAAGTGGGACGAAATGCGCATCCTTGCTTCCACTGCTAGTCACCATCTACCAATTTACGTCTAGTTACATACCCATACATCGTCGAAGCATCTGGACAAGAAGCCGACATGTCAACCTGAGACGGATCACTTCGATCCAATCAGTCGACGGGAAAATCTAAAAAAGAATTATATAATTCTATGAACTTTTGTTATTTTACCCTTGAAAAATAAATATTCACTAATCGTGTTTCTCTATAAATCCCCTATTCTTTTCAGTGATTGGTGTAATTTTCGCTTGAAAATGAAAATAAACTACCTTCGAGGTTATTCTACCTTAATTACTCTGGATCAAAATATAATTTTATAAAAATTTGAAATAACTGTTAACTGTGATCAATCTATTTCAAGTGTCATTCGTACACAAATGTACCTCAGATGACGTAAAAATATATTGCAATATAAATTATACTGCTTTTATTGACTTCACAGTTAATTTCTACAATGTTATTGTAAAATTAATATCTGTTTACTGAAATGCACAATACATAAGACCAAAATAGTATTGAGGAGTACTTCATTTATGAGATGCATAGAAAAGGATAAACGCCTGTGTTTGAGTTACATTTGAAATTGTCAACATAAAAGTATTCTGATGATATCAGATGGTTGAAGGCAATCGGCAGAAAGCCCCACTTGACCTAGGTTTAGTACAAGTTGGCACTCATCAGAAAGCGTATCTGCAACCTTGAGGGAAGTCATATCCTTTCCAAGATTCGAACCCGCGTCATTCAGGGATGCAGTTGGAGACGTTACCACTGAGCTATTTGGGCTAGCGATTGACCTCTTGTAGGACTGATTGATTGGACACTAGTAACTAGTGTGACGTTCCTAGTCCTTTCTTTGGTGCAGACTGAATTCTATCAGTCACGTTTGCAATGTGGCCACCATTCTAGGTAGCTCGCCATCACGGTGAACATTGATTTGATGATATAAGACTGTTGGAGGTAATCAGCAGGAAGCCTTGGACCTAAATTTCGTGCTAGTTACGACTCGCCAGCAAGGCCTATCTGCAACCTTGAAGTAACTCATATTCCTTCTGAGATTCGAACCCGCATCACCTAGTGCTGCAGTCAGAGACGTTACCACTGAGCTATTCAGGCTCGCGATTGACTTCCTGTAGAACTGTATTGGATACTTCTGATTGAACACTAGTCAATAACTAGTGTAATGTGTCTATTCGTTTCTTTGGTGTTGACGGAATTCTATAAGTCAGGTTTGCAATGTGTCCACCATTCCGTGTAGTTGGCCATCATGGTGCACATTGATTTGATGATTTCATTTGATTCAGTCTACACCAAAGAAAGGACTAGACACGTCACACTAGTTACTAGTATCCAATCAAAATTAAAGTATTCTTTTCAGAGAAGTTTCTTCCATGCATGTTGAACATACAGTATTTTTATTATGGCATAGAAATGGTATTCCACTTTGGGATGTAGCAGACACGAATTCATTCGATATTAACCAAAGCTGAGAATAAGTTATTGATTTGGTCTCGAGCTGACATCAGTTAGGGAACCATTAGAAAACCAGAATGACTTGTAGCAGATGACTGGTATCTTCTTCAAGATATTATTCAGTAAATTTTATGCATCAAATGAAGTCTTTATGCAAAATTATCCATGAAGTATTCGTACATAATCAATGATAGAATTTTGAAGATAAACATCACTATGTACGAGAGAGATGACAGACGTTGGATTATAAAGAAGTAGTACTCTTGTGGTATGAACTCAGCATCATGTCAATTTCCAGAAAGATATTTTGTTTAACGTTCTACGTAAGGAAATTAAGACAGCCTAATATCCGACAGTCTCTACTCCCTAAGTTTGTTAATTCTTGTGTTCTGCCTATGCTTCTTTACTTTTTTTTCCTTCACGTTCCCCAGTGGAACATAGGGCTCCAAGCTAGAGGCTTGAAGTTTCTGTAGCAGTGCTTATTTTACAGGATGGGGTTGCTAGCCTTATGCCCAACCTTTCCTCTTCACCAGCATCATTATTTCTGGCTTAGCGAGGTAAAGGAGTGCGTCTGTTACCGGGGATCGAACCCTGGACCATGTGCATGGTTGGCAAGCGTACTAACCACTATGCCACCAACGCATGCTTCTTTACTGGTCCCCCTTAATCTTTCCCGGGCTACTCAAGAAAGACTATGTCAGTAGGGCGACTGGGGTGTCGCTAGACCAAATCGCTAATACTTTTGTAGGTAGATACATGAACTTCTGCAAGGAATGTGTAAATATTATCTTATTAGACCCTGAGCATCCACTCTATACGCAACACTCTCCTTACATTTCATCAGATATACTTACGTGTTCGGATGACTGAGTACAAAAACTCTACAATACCTTATTTGGAGCATAATTAGTGTAGTGAGAAAGCAGTAAGGTATAAAACTACTAACTTACCATGAAACATTCAGTAAACAGTCCTCGTAAAAAATGATAATAATGTTAGTAGTTAAGATTACCAGTCAGTTATATCAAACAGCATTAAAAACAATTTTAGGAATAATATTACAAGATTGTTAATGGTAGTGATTATTCGGTATTTGTAGTGACAGTGAAGTCATCCATGTATGCAAAAAATTGTAATATTAATATTATTATTATTATATTAATAAGGTTAGTCGCTTAGATTGTCAGTTAATTGAGGTATCGTCAGCATAGATTACAAATAGGAGATGGTAAAAGGGCAAATTATTTAGCTAACAACACAATAATTCATAAGTTTCACGCTTTACATTGTCTTTGTCACACAGAACGCTGGCCAAATATGGAATTAATTGGTTCATATACTTGGTAGTACGAGCATTTAATCTTTTATACTGATCTCTGGTGCTACTAAATGAGATACAAGGGGAGAGTTGAGAATAGAGTGGGTGTTGAGGGTCACACAATATAAATTTAGACTATTTCTCGCATGAGTTAAGATGTCTACCAACTAATGTGGTGACAAGCTGACTAAGCTGCACATCACCTACCCCACTGACAACCTTTATTACCCTTCTCAAAATCCCAGAGTCCTTTTTCAATAGTCCAATAAAGTACATTAGGTAAGATACAAGAGTTAAAAAATCGTAAATGTAGAGGTTGAGTGATCCCAAATTGTTTTAGCTTCTAAACGTAGTAGCTTAGACGGAACTTTTTTTGGAGATCTGTAAAATATGGAATGACCAGGTAAGGTCGGAGGATAGAACTATACTAAGGTATTTTG